CTACCTAAATGATAAACTCCACTCCTGTAATACATCCTGACAAGTTGCTAAAGGCCAAATAAGATAATGTAGTTCAATAATAACTCCTACAGGTTGGAGTTATTATCAGACGCTGTGCATCCTGCACAGAAGCATTGCACTGAGAGAAAGAACCGACTTGAAAACCAGCTAAATGAGCGAAATAATTATGATTGAAGACACACTAACACCAAAAAATTCTGATGTCGTAGCGCTACGAAAGTCTAGGTCAGCATCCAGTGGGAAGGCTTTTTTTTACAAAATAAGCAAAAAAGTAACTACAATCTTTTTGCCCAACAAGCTGAGAACATAAAATTCCATAAAATTCCAATGCCCATTGATTTGACCTTGTGACGACTGACCACAATTCATAGAGATGAAAGAATGATGGTGAAACACAAGGTAGCGAACCTACTGCTTGAATTTCACCCAAAGGGGAACTTACTGTACAAAACTTTTTGACTTCACGCTGACTAAAGGCCTCTAACTCGTCTTCTCTACCTTTCTCTCTTCATCTTTGACTCAACAGCCTGCTCACTGAATTTGCTCTGGTCACACTTGAGGCTTTGCATTAATATTTTCACTCCTGCCGTCCTCACATATCCACGGGTCTGTAAATGAATCAACATGACAAAATGGACAGCGTGTATTGTGCACTCGCCGCTGCGCCGCATCAAGACAGATGATTATGACACCACTGACGCTCACTAAGATTGGCATTTCAGGTGTCTGTAACGGCACCTTATCATGCTACAGCTTCCTCACATTGTGTCATCATCAACAACAACAGTGTCTGTGCTGGACTGACTTTGGCTGCTTCCGAGCGTGGGAGGACCAAACAGCACAAGTCTGCACCCATGCAGGCCCGTTGCTTATCATTCCCACTAGCTAGACTAGCTTATTAGATAAAGAAGAGAGTAATGGTGCACATCCACATTAAGAGCAAGCACAGGGCGGGACATGGCTGATGTAGGGAAGAGGGGTGGGGGTGGGTGGTGGGAGGGGGTAGAAAACCCAACTTGAAATGTCTGGCAAGTAGAAACATTGATCTCTTTAATATGCTCTGAATCCTCGGCCATTATTTTCCGGGGCTGCCCAGACTGAATGGACTCTAAAGTGAAGAAACCTTAACAGGGGAATGATTTCTGTCTCGGAGTGATGGGTGTATTACAGCTTTAATATCTCATAGTTAATATTCCAAACAGCTTATCTAAGGCCTTTGCATGAGGACTAATCAAAATAAAAAGATGCAGCTCTTGCAAACTATACTATACATATATTAAAACGCAGCACTGTAGGCATGCACGGAACAACTCGTAGCATTAATTTACGATGCCAGGAACACAGCCTGACTCATATGTTAATGTTGAAGCTCTCACTAAATCACTGTTGTGTGGTAACATTTATTACACGCTTTCTGTTTATCTGAACACAGAAAGAAATAGATCCGAGGCATCTAATCGCGTTTCCTGTCACACCGACTAAACCATCAGCAGGTTACAAACTACATTTACAAGTTGCAGGCGCCGAGATCAGTCTTCGCAGGGATGATGTTTGGTAATGGTGATACATTCGCACAGGGAAATAATAAAAACAAAAGTCGCTGTAATTCACTGTGACTCTTTAAAGCAATCCAGTCATTTGGATATGGCTTCCTTTGTATGAGCTCGTGCTAAGTGTATTGGCTGTACGACTACACCCATGACTCACTGTAAACAAAAGAGGGTCAGGGCAGCACAAATCCTTCTGGCTCAATATCAAGGATGACACGTTCTACTGGATTATTAGAAATTATAGCCTACAGTAAGAAAACAATGGAAAGGTCCATCTGATATTTCTTCTAAACATGTCTGCCTTTCAATTCTTATATAATTTAGTAGCACATTACAGTCTTTTACTGGCGGCTATAAGCTGTGCAGATACTCAAACTGAGTAGAGATGAACCACTTTATGATTTATAAATGACTTAAATAATTCTTGATGATCAACCTCTGCAATTTTTCATGATTCAGTTTTCAATAAAATCTTCTCAAAAACATGTGTGATGGAAATATAATAAAGGATACAGTACAGTGTAAGAGCTTGAAAGCTGTTGTTGTGACATAAACTTCTGACTTTTCCCCCTCTGGATGTTCACCTGTGACGAGCCAAGCAGCAGATAGAACTGGACGCAAAATAATTCTCTGCTCCTCCTCCTCCTCCTCCTCTCTCTCTCTCTCACTCACTCACTCACTCACTCGTTCGACAGGGCACTCAACCAAAAGCCACGCAGTAACACAGAGAGGCCACTGCATTAGCCCGTGTCCTCTTTGTTTTGACCATTTCATTCATTATTCATTGGGAAAGGTTTGCAAAGATCCAGCTCAGCATCCTAAAGCGTAACTTACATGACTGCACCTCTTACATCACTCTCTCTCTCTCTCTCTCTCTCAGGGCTTTCCTCTGTCACTCTCTTTTCCGCCAACTCTCCCCCTTCACTTGTGGCTCTCTCTGAACACCTCTCCGCTGCGTCCTACAAATGTTTTTTTTTATTTATTTATTTATTTTTTTTTATTTGGTGCAATGTCTGCATCGTCTTCATCTTTTCCACTCTGCAAAGGGCTTGCGTTCCCAAAGCATGTGCCGGTGTTATCGTTGATGATCGTAATCCTGGCCTGATTGACCCTGCTGAAAAGGTCAGGCCTCTCATGCTTAACCTTTATTTAAGGGCAGAGAGGGCCATAGGTGCTATACAGCAGCACACTGGGCTCTAATATCTGATTAAAGCTGCGTGAGAGAAAAACAAAAGGAGCAAGAGAAAAGGAGACAGAGAGGGAGAGAGAATATATGTGTGCCAGGAGAATCTGGGTCTGGGATTGCATTTGATAAAGGGCTCAGGTTGCTTTGTATAAAAGCACACGGCTCTGTACCAACCTAGTAATGGCATTTACTTGGTCAAGGGCTTTCAAGGGTTCTCACTGTACAGTGAAAGGCTTCCCTGACCTCGGGGAGCTGCCATCTGACAGTCGAGCAGCTCCGGCAGTCTATTTCCAAGTGTACTTTCAGCTGTGGATAACCGTAGTGCGATCACAAGGCTGAGCCATTAGAGTCACGTTCAAGTTCTCGTGGTAGAGCACTCAGCAGAAATGTCAATGCAATTTGAATTAGGGTGGGATTTCCCTTTAAGGTTTCACAGGCTTCCCCCACACACACACACACACACACACACACAAACACACACACACAGGCGATAATGAACAGGTCAGCACATACGGAGATGTGTCTGCAGAATCAGGGACCGTATAGAGGATGTAAATCACTTTAAATATCACAAAGCGTATCGAATTACCCCACCGCCGTCACCTGAGTTTGCCTTAGACTAGATATCGGCAGCCTCCTTATAATTGATTCATGTGATATACCGCTTCTCTACGGAGGCTGAATACAGTTATTAAGCTGAGATAGGATCCATGTCAATCACAAATCAGTGGTTGATTCGGGGGAAAACAAGCTATGCAGGAATAGTAAGGGGAGGAAGATCAAACATGAATAGTAGCCCTACAAAATGATGCATGTATGTAGTTAGTTTCATTAGAATATTTTTATTTTTAAAGCTTAAAACTGCACTATAAATTTAGAACAAGGCACCAGGGGTCTGTTAATTAAATCTACCATGATTTCCAAACTGTCTCAGCCAAAGGAGAACATCATTTGCTTCAAGGGGAAAAGGCTCACAACAATGCACCAAGCAGCACATGCAGAGCTGCATTTCTCACACAGAGGGAATGATGTCGCTTTGGTCACACACACACACACACTGACACTGACACACACAGGACCCCGTGTTTATGATCCCCTGACATGGAATATAATCCCTGCCAGCCCTGCCCTACACTGCCTGATGATGAGATCAGGATACTGAAGACCCAACGTAAATTACCACTGATTGGATTTCATCAAGGTTGACCTACCTAATTGAGGAGTGAGTCAGAGTGGGGCTGGAATGCGGAGGTGGTGGTGGTGGAGGAGGAGGAGGAGGAGGAGTTTGAGAGTCATCATCACTGTCATCGTTTTAGAAGGGACAGCCATGACATTGCTACACAGTCATCTGATTTCTGTAGGATTTGTCATGTACACATGAAAAACTGTACTGTATGTGACTGATGCAGCAGTCTTCTAAACATGTGGTACGTGGGAAGGGAGAAACACTCATGACTACCTCCACACCCAATCAAACTGAATAAATGTGGTCAAGGTAAATATAGTAAATAGCTGATGGAACTGGATTCATGTAATAAAATAAATAAATAAATAACTAAAAAAACTTTTGACATCATCCTGTCATTTCGCTGACTCACACTCAGATCAAGACAGGAGCGCATCCGATCAGTGAGAGAGACTGACACATGATAGCGCCGTACGAGAGAAGAAACTTGTACCTCTCCCTCCAAGAGAAGTGCCGTGTTACAAGCCATTGACAGGTCTGGTTTAAACTGACACACTTTATCCCTGCGAAGAAAAACACTAGAAGCTGACGTACCTACCAATTATTTTGTCAAAGCAAATGGAGTGTAAATCTGTAGCTCCTGCAGTGATTCCACTACCAGGTTTATTACTGCCAGAACTATAACTTTGGCTTGATGTTTGCATGTATGTCACACCTCTACTTTCACTCCTCATCTCCTGCTTCTTTCCTTCCATTACATCCACCCAAAGACGGCAGCTTTCTCTATATTTAATTCATCCCTAACAACTGTTGCTACTTACAGGGGATGGAAAACAAGCAGATGGTACAAGAGAGCACCTGATGAGAGTACAGTACGCGGTTGTTCGAGATTCAAATTGATGAACTCAAGATTATTTTGTACAGGTGGGAGTATGTCTCTAATAAGTGTGGCTGTAATGTGTTATGATCCAGGCAGGGGTGTTTGAGGCTTTGCATGTGAACAGGAAAATGTGAGATGGGGGCGGGTGCAATCGCGCTTCCAGTTTCGGTTCCCTACCTTGGCAGCCACCGAGGAGCTGGGCTTCTCCAGGAGATCCCACAGCTTCTTCCTTTTGTCTGGGCAGCAGGTGTTATCAAACTCTATCTCTCCCTCCCTCTCCCTCATTGTCTCTGCCTCCCTCCGCAGCTCCTCATTCATCTGCTCTTTTTTCTGGTGGTAGCGGGCCTGGCAGCAGGACTCCAGGTAGATCTCGTCAATCCCCCAGTAGTCTAACTCCTGACCAAACGAAAGGGCACACATCTCCTCCATCATGTGTAACTTGCCTGTGCGGTAAAAGTTCAGAATAGAGGTGAAAGCCCCCGGGTGCCGGTCAAAGAAGTACTCATTTTCATTCAGGCTGTAGTCATCGCACACTTCCATCAGGGACTCATGGGTGTTGCAGTCTCGAAGCTTGCCGAGCCGGGTCCTGGGTAGCCGGTCAAGGGTCCGCCACAGGACCTCGTGGTTCAGACCCCCGACGTTAAGGCGGACTCTGCGGGAGCGGGCTTTGGTGCGGATGATGTCGATGGGCTCGGGGGGCAGTGAGGGAGTGTTTCGGATGCTGGTGGGCTTGAGCCCTGCTGGTCCAAGCTTCTCAGCCATGGTTATGGAAAAGGAGACTTATCTGGGAAGAGGTTACGATGACACACACACACAAAAAAAAAAGAGGAAAAAATGGAAAAAAAAAAAAAAAAAAAGTCTAAAAATTTAGAATTATGTTGGATCCTCTTTAGGCAAGTCCCTCCATGGCTGAGAAAACAAAAGAGACAGTTGGTGAGATGACTGAATGACTGATGACACTCTAGTTAAATCAATTTCAGTACAAAAAAGGGGATAGATTACAATATTGTGCATTTTTTCTAAAATTGAATAATAAATCAGGTCTCTTCAGAAGGCGAGGAACAGTCACCTGTTACTCCATATTGTCAGTCAAAAATAGTAACAGCTGCACAGTGTTATTGATCCTTTCATCACATTTCTAAGAAGGTGTTAGGCAGAATCAATGACTTTGTTTTAACAGTCAATATGGCTGCTTTGCTCTGCACTCCACTCCAGCACTGTTATGGCTGGGGTAAGGCAATGAACTCCTGCTGGAGCACTACTCTCTATGCAGCCCATCGCTTAAAAATGGGACTCAGTGGTAGGTTCAGGAAACAATTGAACTGAGAGAAGCCTCGAAATTCATTCATGTGTTATCACTATTTGGATGGAGGAGGTGCATGTGACAGCAATTTCTGCAGTCTTATTTAACTCCTCATTAGCAAGTATGTTTTCTCTCGCCACCATAGTCACATTGTCTGACAAATACAAGTCCCTGCACATGAGAACAGCCTCTGTATACGACACAGTGAATGAAATACCCTTTACACTTGGATAAGTCTTAAAATTTTAAAAGAAAGTTTTTAAATAATAGAACATTTGATCATTAACTTGAACAGATAATCATTTTAAAGTAGGAATTAAGCTACATGTCCTGTGTAGAGAAGCGAGATAAGAGACTGTTCCTGAATGCAACAGTTTAAATTCACATTGGGCACTGCCTGATTACTTACACCACGAATTTGCTATAGGCTATTAGTATCTAGAATAATATATATATATGTGTGTGTGTGTGTGTGTGTGTGTGTATATGTGTGTGTGTGTGTATATGTGTGTGTGTGTGTGTGTGTAGGCTATATACATGTATATATAAAAAAATATATATATAGGAAGGGGTGTAGAGGGGCATCACATTGATTATCTATGTCTGTACTTGTTCTGCAGTTCAATAAATTAATACCTGTTACGCTACAACGTATTTTGTGTTCAGTGAGGTTTTGATGCCTTCATAATCCCGCACCTCCATTGTAAATACAGTCTGTGCTGGAAACGCTCAAATTCAGTGTTCGACTCGGTTCAAAGTAGTGTTACAATGAAGAGATAATATCACAGTGAAATAGTCGGTCTCACCTTGCCGAGATAAACCACCTTTTGCATGCAAACTCCTCTTGTTCCTGAGGGGGGTAGAGGATGAAAAGGGAGCCGGGATCCCCCTTTAGTCAAGCGGCCACGACTGAAGAGAGCACTCCGCGGACGCTGCGCAGAGAACGCGCGTCCCACATTTTGTTGAAAATGAGCTGGGGGAAGGAAAAGAAGAAGAAGAAAAAGAAGAAAGCGTGAATATCTTCCTCTAAAAATGTTCAGCGGGAGAAGACCGGCGCTGTTTCGCCATCGGAACACTGGGGAAAGAGTCCTGCCTTCATCCAAAAAGCTTGAAGCGTGCGGAGAAGACGGGCTCCCTGAATCACTGAGGCTGCAGACGTCGTGCGCGTAAAAGGCAACGGGAAGGAACGGGATAAGCGAACTGCGGAGTGTCCCGCTGTACACTACTTAGGGAGGAGCAGGCAGGCAGGCAGGCAGGCAGGGGCACTCGGGCTGCACCACATCCTATAGGTGAAAGAAAAAAAAAAAAAAAAAAAAAAAAAAAAAAAAACCTTAATGCAACTGGGCAGCAGATTATATCTCTAACCACAACAAAATGAAAGCAGCTCATCTCATTCCGAGCTCTGCAGCCGCACTTAGAGTTGATGTTATGTTTCTTTATTATCATTATTTCAGCTATTATAACTGCCGTTATCGCACAGTATAAACTCACACACACAGATCATAACCTCCATGTAATATAAATCAGGGGAGAATTCTGTATCAGTGGCCTCTTATTGGCTGGATTTAAAGTGTTGATGGCATTTGAAATCAGTAACACACTTTGCCATAGGCGACCTTTTAGTCAAATGACCATGACAAGTGTTGTGTCGCCACTCACTGTAAATGCACAATCAACCCCTTGGCCTTTAATTTGCAACACTTGCAAAGAATCTCCTCTAAGACCTATTGAAAATAATATTACACTGAGCTTTTTTTTTTTTCTAGTGCTGCCACCCATTAGAAGTAAAACAGCCCAAACCTCAAAGGTAACAACCAACTAACCGTTTCAGATGCTCCATTTGAGCCACAGTAAGTAACCTGATCCGCAAGACAAGACAAGGCAAGGAGACGGCCTGACCCTTCTTCTTGACCGCTCGAGAGAGCAGTCAGCAGTAAGTCAGTGATAAACCCATGCAGATACACCTTATGCCTCCTCTAAGTAATCAAAACCCATCTTGTCTATTAGCTATCAATATGTAATGATCTCCCTTCTCCCTGGTCTTAAATGAATAAATAGAGATATTAAATTATGTATCCCTTATTATCCCTCAGATCGTTACCTACACTGCTGGAGTGTTCTCTCTCCTCCTCTCTCTTCTCTCTCTCTCTCTCTCTCTCTCTCTCTCTCTCTATCCCTCACTCTCAGTTCATATGAATAGTGTTCAATACAGCAATGATATTTCCTCGTAGAGCTTATGTGTCAGTTGAACATTTCCCCTTAGCCAAGCGCTTTTCCAGAAATTTGATTATACACTGCATATGTGTAATTGATTTCCCTGCCATGTTCCTTCCTTCCAGTGACAAGTGATCAATAAGGCTGCATTGACTAAACAGAGTCTTTGCGCGCACGCATACTATGTCTTAACAGTGTGGCCGCCAGCACGTGAAGGTCAAAGGCTTCGGCAGTGTCTATACATGTCACATGGAGATCTGCGAGACACATGCACATTCTCCCAGCATATGTTCATGGCATTCAAATATGGATCTAATGAATTATTTGAATGTGACTTCAGCACTGTGGCTGTCTACATTAGGATATCTCTATATCTTTGCTGCACAAATTTGATTTGAAGCGACAGGGTTATAGGAGTTGTGTGAAAATATGCATTTAATGTGCAAAAAAAAAAAAAATCACTTCTGGTTTTTATCCAACAACACAATGTTTACCACTGAGATAAGGTTGAATTTTTGTTCCTATGATGACATTAATTTGGCAGTGCTCAGGTCCAGAGTAGTGGATCATCCCTCCTGACCCCCTAATTGACCGACGTGATGACAACAAAACTGCTGATGCCGCAGTTGTTAATTACTTAGGGTACAGGGAAATGATTAAGGGCAATTGACTGTGTCCCCTTTCATTAATTATTATCAAACTGGCAGCAAATGTGATTGAGGATGTGTGAGGTATAGCAGTGGTGTTGGTACAAAATAATCAGCAGAGCTGGATTGTGCGCCACAGCTTCCGCAGCAGGCAAATGTATTGTGTAGAGTAATGTAATACTTTTGTGCAGTAGATGCTTCCAGCTCTATACTAACACCACCTGCGTGCATGGGTACTCAGGGGAGTTGAAGCCAACCCGTGTCCCACCATGTGGGCGGAATAACTCCAGTTACCAGCTTTATATATGTAATTATTAACTCACCATATAGAAATGTGCTGATGCACTGCAGGTTATAAAGACGACAAAATGTTTATTCTTTTTCCTCGAGGGTTTTTTTTTGTTTAATTCCTGTGTACAATGTGGGCATGTGTGCTTGTGTGGGCTGTTGCCATAGCAACCCAAATTGTAGCATCATGCTGAAGAAACACTTTGGGCCATGGAGCCAGAGAGACTCGTGAGCTCTTTGTGACAGTGATTGAATCAACTGTTTGGTCAATTAACCTTTGGTGTCTGTATTATCAGAATATATTACGCAGGCTGACAGCGATGATGCGATGTGATAACGGAGGCTGAATGCTGAGCAGAAGTTTCACAGAGTTGATTCGGCGCAGGAAGAAAAAGGGAAGTAAGTCGTGGAGAAGTCAAAGGTGAGGAGTCCACCGCTGCTTGGTATCGCAGCCGGGTTGTCCTTTTGTACACGTATCCTCATCCATCTCAGGCCAAAAAGAGTTGACTGACTGCACCGGCTGCTTCATCCCTGAGCCGTCACTGCCTGCTGTATTTTCCTTTTCCAATTTGTCATAAAATGTGTCCACTCCATCATCCAAACAACACCGCGGACACACTCGCACCCCACAGTTCCTGCTTCTGACGCGTCAGCACATAGGAGAGAGACGCACACATCGTCATCTGTTCATAACACACTCATTAGACAGATACACTGAGGAGCAATGTGTGAATCATTTTGGAACTTCCTTGTGAGCAGCTGAAGGGATTTGCTGATATAAAGAATACGCTGCTGTATTTGGCTCTACACTGCAGCGCATGATGAAAGTGCTCCTAAACATGTTCTTCTTTAGCAAAGGCTGATTTAAGCTAACGAGCCATGTTGCCCTGCATGTGCAATGGATGCGAGAGTGGCGGAAGAGAGAGCGAGAGAGGAGAAAGAAATGTGGATGGCTGTAATTTACTGTGCGCTTCTACAGAAGGGGGAGAGCAAAAGTCACATTCACTCAAATTACAATAATAAGCATTCAGTCAATGTGTGACACCTTTCTATTAATAGAAAGCTGCAATAGATTTGAATACTTGTGAAAAGAAAAAAAAGACTCCACGGGTGGACAAGCTTAAAAAAATGTAAATGTGCTTTCTCCTGCTTTATCTCTCAGCTGCTGTTCCCAGTGCAGGATATTTCGAGGGCTTGGACATAATGTCATTTTCAAAGGTGTCATTTATTATTCTGTGAAATTCACAGATATTGAAGTTCCATGATTGGCCTGACATGAGGCCACCAGCTACAAACTTTGCGAGCGCACC